TGTGGCAAAGGCATCGACGCGCGAATCCTTTGAACGGTGGGTATAGAAAACGCCGCCACATGCCCATATGGATTTTCACATCGTAACAGTTACCGATTAACGACTTCCTCGAAGCGAACAGCCAACGACGATATTCTAGACGCTGTTGCTCGAAACGATATTTCGTTTCTAAACGATCGCGATTCTCGGCGACACAGTTTTTCAGCTATCGGATAATTATGAAAGAAATATGGTGAAAGGGTTGCACGCGTGCCTCTCGATCGCGATCCTCTTCGGTACCGAATACACGATACCGTGCGCATACACTGTACGTACTCGGTCGAATCGAGGGTCAGTGTACCGTGTGGGCTGTAACTAAAAGTCACGATACACGTATACGCTGGCATAATACGTCGAAGATAGTATTTCATTGGAAAAAGGAGAGTCATGAAGTACGCTCGTCTACACAGCCAGCGTTCCCCGTCGCGGAATGTCGTCTGCTTAAAGCGAGACGTTGCTTTCTTGCTCTAGCTCCGTGGAAATCTATACTCCCGGTACGGTGGTACCGAGGTAAGGTAAATATCCCGGTGATTGTACGATCGAGGGAAGAATTTCCCTTATAAGTCTCTTATCGAACCGACGAATAAGTTTATCTGGAAGGGTAGATTCTCCATTTTTCAAAATGGAAAAGAACACGCGTCGAAAGAAACCCTTGTACGAAACCCTCGCGAAACCCTTTAATCGGAAAGATTAATATAATTTTAAATCCAGACACGTAGAGAATATTATTAAGAATTAATGGCAAGGTTAACAATGAAATACGGCTCGGTGGTACTTTCTTAACCTTGAAATTGCACCGCGGATTTGACGAAGATTAATTTAGCATTTCCATCAGCGGTACTCTTTGAACGTAGATTCATAAATAGCTAACGACCAAGTGTGTACTCCACTGTTCTCGTAAAAGGGATAAGAAACGACGATACGATAGAGAATGCTGTGACAATGCAACTTATCGGTTGCATCGATTACGAATGGCTTCGAGATCCCGTGCATTCCCTGCCAATCAATCGGATTTATAGCGCCAGTAGTTCTCCCTACTTTAATGGATCTTAATTGACGAGTCAAGCCTCGTCACGTAACCCCGGCTAAAAGCGGCTGCTTGCACATTTTTAAATCTGTGAAAAACTGCATATGGAATCCGTCGGCGCGTAGAGAGTGAGCTATGGCCAACAGTTTCACTCTGCTGCACGCGCGCCATTTGCGGCGTCTCTTCTCGATCCACGCATCAATTCTTCATCCGTAATGCTCACCGCATCTACATAGTCGATCCGAAATCCTGCTAATAAATCCTGGCTCAGACATCGTGTGCAACACGGTCTGTTCGACTACGCGTGTTAAATATTTTAAGAGGCGGCTCTACAAGCCGATCAAACGATGAGACGAAGAGGGAGGACGACGAGAAAGATACCGAAGCAAATGTTTGCATACAAATTTGTCTTAATTTTCCGAGTCCACGATTATTTTGCCTCGATCCTTCGTTAACGGAGGAACCGATCTCTTTAAAATTATCCTTTGTCGGAGAACCGTCGGTTCGTTCGAACGAAAACAGATTTTACCGTATGCTCTGGGATATCTTCCAATTTATCGATCGTTACCGTAGCTTCGACCTAGAAATTATCAAAAAATTATCTACCTATATCGGAATAGCCTCTTAACCTGCATAGGTAACGCTGGGGAAACAAGGAAAAGATAACAGAACCTAATTCTGTTTTATGTACTTGATGCACGACAGACTTATCTTCTTCGACGATTGCCGATATCTGCTCTATTGGCTAACCTCTGGGCTAGATCGGCGCTACATGCAGCATGCAGTGATTAGGTGCTCAACTTTTGTTTTCCATCTTGGCAGTGCAGTACGTCATTATTTGTAACAACGTGGGGTCAGGATCAGCAACTTCCTCGTGCACGTGGTGCTGCTAATCGACGCGTAAATTTCCAGTACACAATTCCCCGTATCCTAACAAATAGTCTTCGATTATCATAGAGTACGCAGGCTGAGTCATTTAACTCTTTCACCGGAATGTTTCTTCTAAATTGCGCGTTGTATACATGTGTGTTTCGAAGAAAATTTATTTGCTATAAAGGAGACCATCAATTTCTTGCTAGGTATTTCAACGACGACGTTTACTCCGTGGGTCAAAATAGATCCATGCCTCGCTGTCCGAGCGTTGAACGAACAAACGATTAAGATGATTAAGAAATAATAGGGAAATATCAACACGCAAAAATGAAAAATAAAAGCACGCGCAAAAAGATATTGATAAACTTTAGAGAGACGCATTATAAAATTGTACAATGGCAATTGTCATCCGAGGATGGTACTAAATGGAAAAAAAAGAGAAAGAAATCCACTCGGAGTCGCGACAGCGTTGTTCACAATAAGCGCCTTCAACGGTCGACCAACAGGAAGTGCATTGTACTATTAACTGTATTTAGTCTTCGGTTAATTGAAGATAAAGACTGTGTAGAATGCTCCTTCTTTCTTTAACTCTGCACGCGTAACGCGGCTCGTATGGCCGCGTGAACGAGCCGTGACCATAGCAAAAGCCATTAAAAACTCGTTTAATTTCCCAAACTATTATACCAACCGAAGAAGTCGCCTAATACAAATTCCTTATAAAACGATCGAAAGTCTTGCAATTCTTGGAACATGTGATTTTATATGTATTTATATGTATTTATGAAAAAAGTGTGTAGCTGAAATATAAAATTTGTAAAGAGCGCGTTTACAATTTCGGTAAAAAAAAAACGAAGAAAAAACGGTAGCTACACGACACCAAATTAGTTTCCACATCGAACAACCTCGTAGAACATGAAATTAACGCTCGTGGATGATTATCGAGGTCAGATTTACGTATTACAAAACGCGTGTACCCTCCACGCTCGAAAACTGGCAAGGTTGGTATTAATTCCTTTATGGATTTCAACGAGCAAACAGGTTTAATGTCGCGCAACGATTTGTATGTGCGTTCCGCAAGAAATATTACGTGGGGCCCCAGGTCAGAGCTTCGAGGCAAGCGTCTGGCCTTCGCACGGTATTCTGGCCAGGCTGCGATTGTCCTGAAATTTTTAATTGCCGATCGTTCGAGAAGAAATCATTTTACGCATCCTTGTACATCGGTCTCCGTTCGTTGTCGATAACTCGATTGTTGGAATAACGATCGGAGAAGCGCGGAGATGGGTAAAATTTTAAATAATTTTATATATAATATTAACCGTGTTGAAACGTTTGCACAAGTATACGAATAAATATAAAGTTAAATAATAAAAAATTTCATTCCAATTTCGATACAAGTGCTGCTACGTATCGTTTATTCGCGAAGAAATCGAGCATATTGATTTATCGACCGAACGATCCTTCGATAAAGATACGATTGCACCGCGTAACTCATTCTCGAAGAAAAGTGGACTTGCATCGATCGATTTCCGAACCATCCATATGTTAATTGCACATCTATACGATCATAGCAGTTTTGCATAATACAACGTTACATTCGACCTCGGCGTTCCCTATGGTAAAAGCGAAATCGATCAAAATCGAATCGTTACTCTCGATCCTGGTTTACCATACAATCAATGGCAAATCCGGTCGTGAACTTTTATCGATGAACTTTCCTCTCCCGAATCGTGACTCATTCGTCGGTGATTTTCGCGCATTCGCGCCGTGTTCCTGAGAAATTGCCGTAATCGTGCACGCGTATTGTTTCTCTATAGAACATCGGTCACGTCAGTTTCATTATTCATTTAATTGCTGTCTTCCTTTCGGGCAGCCAGCCAACGATTGCTGTCCCGAAACAATGACGCGTGTTCCTTGGTTCCATGCAGCCGTAGGTGGCGGCCATTATCCCTTCTACTTGTTTGTTATCCGTTTTCATTTTCCTCTGCTTATTGTTCGCGCAATAACGCGAAGAGTCAATTGGCATTGTTTCAGCACACAACAGAACTATTCTCCATTTTGCGAACACAAAACGAACGCTCCGCCGCGTCACCCTCGCGCCGTAGGTGGATCCAAGGGTGTAGACTCGGGCTAAATTGTCGGGGGAGGAGCCGTCGATGGCGTTTTTTCCTCGAACAGTGCCTTTTTTATCTCGCACTTTATATTAATCCGATCCCAAGTTGGAAGCGCATTCGTTGCAAACTATTTCGTACGTTTACGCTGTTCATTTACCGATCATTTTAAGTACTTCTTCGAACTTCCATGTAATTACTTTCGTAAAACCGCACGAACAGCGAGAAGAAATATTTCCGAGTGTCCTACGTTATAGGACAAGGCGATCTTAATTTCGTTTAACATTGTTTTTAGGGGAGAACTCCCAAAAAGAAACTAAACGATCCATCCGCGATTGAACATCAATTATTTAACTTATCGCGAAACTGCAACAATCGTAACCTCGTTTACAGCTTCTTTTATTCTTTTCGTGCTAACGCGATTTCGTTACAAAGACATTTTCAATAACTCGCTAACTTTAAATATTTTTTATTCATCGAATAATGGACTATGTATCCCATTTATGATAGTTACCCCTTAGTTTTTTTTCGGGAATGCGTATCTGAAATCAATGTAGCTTTCAGCAAAAAATGTTTGGGCGATAGGTCGTTCGATCGATCTTTCTTAGAAGAGAGCGGTCTACGACTCAAGGTTGGTAGCACAGGTTGCTCGGTTCGGAGAGAAGTATGATTGATAGACCAGGTAGACGCGTTAGCTAGCGATTACAGTATACCGTGTACACCCACCGATAGCTATAGTTCGAGGCTACGAATTAAGTGTTCGATGTAACTACGTGTCGGTTTTATAGCGTGCAATTAGAAGTTTATCATCGGACTCGATGGCGATGATAAAACTATAGCAGCAAATTTTTCCGCGAAGTTTATACTCGGCTTTACGCGGCCCGATATTCTTAAAGTTGCTCGTAACTTTCGCTACAGATTTGTTAACGCGAACGAACGTTACTCTGTTGCAGCCGAATCGGACATATGCACGTTCTCCGCTAGAACCGAGCATTTCCATGTGAACAACAAGCCATCGTCGTCGCTGTTCACGTCGAACACAAGACCGAAGGCGCTAACAGAGCTGTACGAAGCGGCTGCTATCGTCGCTGTCAGAGGTCTGGATAGTCTGAGAAGGGATGGCAGTTCCGTGGATATGTTCCTGTGCACGCCCGTCCTTGGCAAGAGGCGGCGGGACCAAAGTCTCGACATCGAATCCAGAATCGTACGTATAAATCTGGTCGAACGTGGCACCGCGTGACGATAGACGTAATAATTACTCGGTGGCTGAGCATACGATATAATTAACGATCTGTTTTTCTTTCTTTAAACTACGCTAATCGATGTTTGTAATAAAAATTTTCGCGGTCGCGCGTAGGCGACTCCGGCCGTCGAAGTACGGTAATGTCTCTCTAATCGACGCCCAGATTGCGCACAAAAATGGACAATTAGGGAAGAGGAGATACGATTGTTCGAGCCTTGCTCATTTTTATAGCTATAAATCGTCCACAATTATAAAAACGAACAATCGTATCTTCTCTTCCCAAATTGTCCATTTTAGTGGACAATCCGAGCGTCGGTAAAGGAGAGATTACTGTATCGAGATATTCGTGGACGACGGCGCGCGCGTACTTGCCATCCCTTATTGAATTACGTGATCTCGATACGCTTTTGAACAGGCAACGACGCGGATAACGCGCGAATTTCGGTCGTAGACCGGATCGCGAACGTTAAATATAGTCGATCCATTTTCACCGTATTCGTAACGAGCGCATAGAAAGGGAGCAGACTGTAACACAATCCGTGGCATATTCCGTGCGTGAAACCCGCTTGGTCACGAGGTGACATCTGACAATGGCTGTGCCCACGCAGCGCCGCAGTGCGTAAAACACGTCGGTAGCTTTTCGCCGCAGCATCAAGTTTCTATGAAACAGAAGCAATGCGGCAGTACTTCCTACGATACCGTTGTCGGTTCGAGCCGAACGAGGAAGAAGTTCGGTATCTGTCAGGGTCGATTTTTCACAATTCGATCGTCCCTTCGTTCTAGCTTGGATCGCTTCGCCGCAGACGGCGTTGCACGTGCATAATTTCAAAACTACGGATACATCAACGCGTATTCGAAAATCGTTTTTATCGAACACGGAAGCAAAAGAAATTCGCAGAATTTATACTTACCGGTTCGAACTCGTACGGTAGTCTCGATTATCCGAGTCGACGTAGATGCCCGTGAAAGGGTTAAGATTACGCGTAGAAGTCCTCGAACGTTGCTCAAGCATTACACGTACAGCTTGTACAGGACAGCGATTTTGTTTCACGCGTATAATTCTTGGCTACAGCCGGCCGTTATCGAAGATCTACGCAGATGGACGTCCACGGAGGCGCTCGGGGACGTTACTGTACCACCGGATTGCATGTCCAGGATCCTGGGAGACACGACCGACGACGATGCCGTCGATCACAAACTACCCAGCCCGGAAGAACAGGTTCAAGCCGTCGCTCTCAAGTAAGGGCGAAATTTATGCCGTCGTAACCGCGTTAACTGCGAAATGATATTTCTGACGTCACCCGGTCCTTCTTCTCGAATCGTCGAAACGCTCGTATTTCCTTCGGTATCGAGCATCCGAGCCGTTTCTCAGTTGTCGCATTTAATCGAATTAAATGAAATTTCTCGTTTCTCTTAGCTCTTGAAGAAAATAAAAACCCAAGTTGCGCAGAGTGATACCGTTGCGAGAGACAAAAATTCACTGTACCACACGATTCGGCAACCTCGATCGCAGTAGCGTCGACAACCAACCAACGCGTTCCGACTTTTAAAAATGTTTGCTTACGTTTATTCGCTCATTGTGTCGAGGTTATTCGGATCAACCACCACGCGTACAAAACAGCAGTTTGGAATAGAAAGGTTACGCACGTATTGTTACCGTTTAGGTTCCCAGCTGAGATCGTGGCGGTGGACGTCAGTGGAAAAGGATTCGAAAGAATGTCGATGAGAAGAAGATCTTTGCTATCCGGTCCAGAGAATCAGGAAACAGCTGTGAAAAGACGATCGCGCCTTCGTAGACCCAGAGGGAAGAGACGAAATACGATCGCTGGTACCGATCAGAAGGAAATACGACAGGCAATCGGAGGGTAAGTTCTGTACATTGACTAAATTAAATGTTTTCACATTCGAACATCGTCGTAAAGCTATGCAGAGTCTAGGGATCGTCTTAAAGAAACAAGCTTAAACTCTCTCGAGTTTGACGCAAGACTGAGTAGAACGATACGTGGGCCGCGCGGGGCGAAGGACCACCGTTTAACAAAAGGCTGCTTGTTGTCGCGTCGGTAGCGCGTAGCGTTGACCTCGTTGCGTCGTAAAGCTGGTTCAAACGCGTGGCCATCGATTTAGTAGAGTAGCGAGTACTTTGGTACTCGAGTACCGCTATACCCGAAAACCTCCAAAAGCATAAAACTGTACGACGACGGACCATGATCCTTCGACTCACCGTGTCCGTTCCGATTTGCAGAGAGACGATCGACGAGGACGCGGACGGAACGATATCGAACATAGCGTCGCGGACGCAGCGATCGGCGAGCACGGACATATTGGGCTCGTCGAAGAAGGATTCGCCGACGGAGAAGAAGTCCCATTTCAACACCTTGAAAGCGTGGGGCATGTCCCGGCTGAAGCTGATCAGCCCGAAATCGAACAACCAGCAGCAGGAGCAGCCGGGGACGGCCGCAGCGGTCACAGCGAGGTCAGAGACGGATCGAAATCGATCGAGATCGACGGAGGATAGAAATATTTACGAAATGGTAACGAGCAGGCGCAGGAAGGACAAGTCGCACGAGAGGAAGCCCAGCTCGTCGAGCTCCAGCGGCAAGAGCGTCGCGAGCATACCGGTGTCGGTGCCCACCGCGGAGAAACAGCCGGGCGTGAAATTGCGGGAGAGCGCGGTCCAAAGAAGAGAAAGACGAAAGGGCAGCAACCGAGACGATCCGCCGCATTCGAGCTCGGGGAACTGGAGTGCGTCCTCCGAGAGCGGAAGGGCCAGCATCGGCAGCGAGACGACCACCACCACCCATCAACCGAGGTACGGTTCCTCGGTTCCTCCGAGATCGGATCGAGCTCGATCCCTGTGTCCCTATGTCCTATGGTCCGTCGGAACTCGACCTCGATCATCCTCCTATCCGTAGCCTCCATCGGCGTCTCGACATCTTGCGACAAATTCAACTTCAAGGATCGGCGTAGATCGATGTTGCGACGCTTGTCTCGATGTCTCCGATCGCGATACATCGATCCCCGATCTTGATTTTTTATATAATAATAAGTATTGATGAAAATCGAGTTTGCGGTATAAATCCGGGAAAATAAGTTCTCGACGTTGGCGCGTGAAAGATGTAAAATGACGTTAGGATAGGAAACTTTCCACGTAGGACTTCGGATAATCTAGAATCGATAAACATTTTCAGTAAAATTATGCGACACGTTACGCGACACGTTCTAACGATGACAAATACGAATACGCAGGTCGACGACAACAGCATCGATCGGAACATCCTCCACTTCCCTGAACCACGTCCGGCGATTCAAGGGACGGGATACATCAGCCTCGTCCTCGGTCACATCGGAAGGTACGCTGACACCCGATATTATACAGGATATCGCGGTGGTGCCTTTCTCCGACGATGGCGAGACCTCGTCCGTGTACTCTTGCGACACGGAAGGGTATTACACGTCGTTCCACGTGGATTCCGGCCTAAAAACCCTGCGAGAAGAGGAGCCGGTTCTGCAGACTTCGTCGATGAAGACGAACGACGTCAGTTCCGATCCCACTTCGCCGACCGTTGAAAACGAGTACGAGCTGTTCGGAAGGGGTTCGACCTCGACGACGACGAGCTCCGCGGGAACAGTTTGCACGGCGTTATTGGCGCCACCACCGCCGGAAAGGAAGTCTAGCCTCACGGTTGTCGCCATGGTGAGGATTCGTCCCGTCTCTCTCACCCTTACCCTTGCGCTGCGTTCGGTCCGAGCTGGCTCTCGGCTTTCTCGAATCGCTCGCCCACCTCCTACCAGTTTCAGCTGTTTTATGTCGACAGGTGCACGGGCAAAATCAAAACGGCGGCGAGTCACCGGACAGCGGGCACAACACTTCGTCGTCGCCGGTGGAGTCCGCCTCGAGTCCAGCGTGCACGGGAAGGTCCTGTTCCGAGTTCGAGTACTCCGAGTCCAGCGACCTGGAGGGCTGCGAGAGGATCGAGAGAATTCGCTCGAAGACGGCGATCAACGCCAGTCGTATACCGTCCATGTGCGTTATCACGCCACCCGGTTCCGACGACGAGCTCGCGCGAGAGTCGGAACAAACCGGCAAGTCCACCGAGAATAGGAAGCAAGACATCCAAGCCGGAGGATCGGTCCTCATGTCCGCCACCGTTGGGACCTCCAAGATGGAGGTGATCAACGGTCAGGATAAGAACATGTACGCGACCGTGCAGGTGTTGCCTTCGCCGGTGAACGACAGACCCACCGTCGGACAGGCCTCCGTCAAGATCAATCCGCTGAGCGGTGTCTTGGGCAAGCTTCGCGGCGTCCTTCCAGGCAGGAAGCACGTGCCGAAGAACTCGGTACAGGATCAAGGGAACGCAGACTCCGGCGACTATGTCACTATAGCCGACGTGAGGAACAATAACGACAAACGGCAAGAGCCGGGGACGAATTCGAGCACGGCTCCCGCCTGGTCACCGGTGTTGTACGCCAATTCTGACATCTTCAAGAAGGACGCCGAGTACGTTAGTTTAAACGAGTTACCAAAAAAGCCGACCTCCTCCTTGGAAAGAAAGAGACAGGGTGCCAGGGTCACGTTAGACTCCGAGGGCAAGGTTGTTTACACCTCCGACAGCCTGAAGAGAAGGAAAGGAGCGCATTCCACCTTCAATCCAGGTACTCTCGATCGGATACCGATTACGAACGGCTAAACCTTTTCGTTATTTCGATCGGAATGCACGCTAGAATTCAGATATTCCATCGTTTTACGTAAAAGAGTCTGTCCAATTTCAACGATCTTAAAGTAAAAAGGGTGAAGTTCGTTATTTCAATCGTCGCTGTAGGTTTAGCATTAAAATAGCGGGTGCGACTAACGTGGAACCCAAAACGGTTGCTTCGACGGATGTCTCTCGACTCGAACGCGAGTTGATATCTCGTCGAAAAGTGTCTCCGTAGCTTGCGAGACGCGTATTTTGACACGATTTATGTTCCATGTTCGATAATCGGTAGTAGTTGTTGTCGAAATAAATCAAAAATATTATTTTCCGCGTCCGGAGGAACTACGAACACATGCTATAAATACGTATTTCAGGTCCGTTCGTGAGGGAAGGAGTATCTCCGAGCCCGTCGCCGTTGTTGCACCGTGCAACCCCGAACGTCCGAGCAGTGACGAAGACCAACGACGCGGTGGATGGACCGACGAAATTGACGCCACCCACGTCGCCGCAGCTGGGTAAGCTGATCATCAGAGCGGCGAGAAGCCCGGAACGCGCGAGCAGTCCGGACTACGTTCGAACACCGTCGACCGTGGTGGGACCCACGAGTCCAACGACAGCCCATCGACAAGTTCGCGGCGCTTACGTGAACATGCAGGAGGACGAAGGTAAGAAGGCTTCTGGTACGAGCGCTGACGAACGAGATTGCACTGGCTGTGTCGGTAGATTAGAAGCACCGTTCGCACACCTCGGCAACGCTCATCCTAACGAGGACGCGGGCACTGTTCTGACCACCGAAGGCAGCCCGTTGCTGTCCGCCAACGGCACGTGTCAGACCGCCGCCGGGACCGTAGCGCTGGCGCCGAGTAACAAAGTCCTAGATCTTAACAAACCCGAGCTGTCCTCTAACAAACCGTACATTGCCAGGTCGACCGGCGCGATCGTTTGCGACGAGAATCACCCTCCGGCGATCGATGACGACGAAGCGTCGGCCCAGGAAGGCTCTCGGTTCGCCGACAAGATGGACGCGCCGAGAACGTCGTCGTCCAGGTCCACGAATCTGCGGCTCGACTTCGAGAAGTCGGCTCTCTGCCTGAAGAGTCTGAGGCCGACAGGCGACACGCCCAAGTTGAGCAGGAAGCTGCTGGTGTCGGACCTGGACACGCCGAGCTTTTACAGGAAAGTCACGAAGGTGGAGGTCCGATCGGACGACAAAGACTCGGCCGATGCCAAGGACCGAGAGAAATCCGTCGCCGACACCGGCAGCGATCGCGCCTCGAACGACGGCGACGACGTCGTTTTAGATTCGCCGGGCGTTCTCGAGACGTGTTCCGACAGCAACGCGACCAAACGATCCGACGGTCTCCGCGAGGACAGAATCGAGCACAAGGTGAAACGCAGCGAGAGCTATCGAATGGCGAACAGCCCGATCATGTTCATAAGAAAGTTCTCGAGCACCGCGGAGAAGTCGTCCAAAATCTCTAGGACGCCGTCGGAGGAATTGCAGGAGGAGTTGTTGAAGGAGAGCATCAATTATCCCGAGACCGTGTCCAGTCCCGAACCTCGGAGCGACGGGATCATTGGTTTCAACGCGGAGATAGCGATCTCGGTCTCGAAAACGACGGTCCCAAAGAGCCCTCGACCCAGAGCTACGGATATCCAGCCCGCGAGAGTGCTCAAATACTCGGGAAACGATACAGAGATTTGGTAATCGACTCGAACTTCTCTCGAACATCCGTTGGGCATAACCGACAACTTTGCAGCGATAGACGAACATGCGTTCTATCTTATATTAATGCAAATGATACGAAACGATCGAATCCAGGAATTACGTAGTAGCCGATGGGTAACGAAGAATCGTTGGAAACGGATGCGGTCGAATTAATTCGTGCAACGGATTATGGTAAAAATACTGTTTAGGGGATTCGCTTCCTATGACCGCAACTTTATATCGTCGAGGACACCGTTCCAAATACCAAGAAAGCCGTGTCGAGCAAAATCGTTATACCTCCGGATCTAACTCGGGTCAATTATTTTTAGCGATCATCTAAACCTCCTTAATCGAGCGACGTTGATAGCGTGTACAAAAATCAACGACATTGGAAATGGACCCGCTAAGCATAATTTTTACCAAGATTATTACGTCTGTTTCACCGGGTATGTGGATTCAGTTTCAGTTATAGAATCATAATTTTTTTTTTCCTATTATAGGTAAACTAAATATACGGATAAGAAACGAATGCTAAAGATACCATTTATGAATTCACGTTTGCATCGTTGAGTTTATGCAAGTATGTTTTGTTTGTATAAACTATCTATATTGTACCTGGCACTTAGGTATTGCGATCATGGCGTAACAAAGAAGAATTTATAGGGGAAATTCTTAGTCGCCGGTTGTCCGTGACCTATAATGGTGCCAACCGCATCGGAGTGTCGTTGTCTCTTTTTTTTGTTTATTAGATTTTGCGAAAGTTTCGTCGACGCGACAACGAGATCTTGCGGATGAAAATGAGTTTAAACGCGGTATATTTGGTAGACTTAACAACCGCACGCGATGTTTTGTATCAATTACGCACAGTTAAAATTACTCAATGATCTCATGCTCGAGCTCGAGCTCGGTTTGGTCGGAAGTGCCTCCAATAATCTGTTGATAACGATTCGATGCGAATTCAGAGAAAACCGTAAAATTCTGAACTTTTCTTAACGCGTCACCCCTTTCGAGTCCTTGCCCTGAAGCGCGATCAGGAATTGTTCGCTGTTTTTCTTTCGCAATCCGCCAAGCATGAACGCGATTACGATTATGACGTCTATAAACGATCTCGGCAATTGCAGAGTTAAACACGATTCGCTATCTGAGGCGGATAAACGTTAACGCGACGCTTACGTTCAATCGTTGCGCCGGTTTCACGCTCGCGTTTAGATCTTCGCGAGTTTCGCCTTTTGGCTAGAGATCATAATTTCGAAACACTGCTAAGTATCTATGAAACTCCAGACAGCGGTCAATGTACCCGGAAACGTGGACAAAAGATAGCAGTTCGTGGAGTCCAATTAATGTTGTCGGTGATTCAAACTTATATTACAGTAATAATATAATACATAATATATTACAGTAATATATTACAGTAATATATTACAGTACTTATATTACAGTACTTATATTACAGTTCTCCCTAATTTTTCTTCGATTTGTAATAAAAACGAGCCGCGAGACTTCTCTTCCCAAATTGCCCTCTGTGGTTTAAAAGCCGAAGGAAAATTAGGAAGAATTTACTGTACTATGCCACATTTTAAAATGTATAAGGTCATTGCAACGATAAAGCAACGGGCAAGCTCACAGAGGGCCCATTTAAGTTCTAACGAAAGATATCTGCTTCGTCCAGAATGTTCCTGGACTGTGCGAAAGAAAAGTAGGGAGATCGGGGAGATCGTTATTGCTTGGAATTATTGAGGACAAACGATAAACGGTTAGTTCTGCAGTCACGACAACAAGGCCGACCAATATTTTCCCGGAAATAATCTGTTACATTGGGTATAGTAATTTGCACCCCTATCGCAAACGGGAATACAAATCGAACGTGTCGTGTTTTTTAATAGGATAGTCTTTGATCCGAAAATCATTATCTCAAAATTTGCGTCTATCTCTTTACTATTTAAAATTACTATTTATTATATATTACTATTTAAAAATACTAATCGATCGACCCTCCAATTTCGTTGGAGTAATCTAGCTCAAGATTTCAGCATTGCCGATGGTCGGTAAAAACTCTTTGCTCATAAGAACCAGCTCTCTAATTTTCCCACGAGGCAGAAAAACTTACGCGTAATTAGTTAGAAAATTCATCGAAGGATAAGGATTTATTGAATATTTTTATCAATTATATTGTATATTGTTCCGCGATCACAAATTATTTTTATAGAATTACCGATAATATTTTATATTCTTGATATTGCTATTTTTAGCAATTATCCTTTTATGCGTTAAATTTACATAGCTCGAAACTTTTTAAATAAAATATGCGTCGTATAGACATATTTTGGCAATCGCTGAAACATAGAAGCGAAGCGAAAGATCGCGGATACATTTATACTGTAACATTTTAACGAGGGTGGTGCTCGAAGAACTTTTTGGATGTAAACGATCTTCTTACGCTATTTCCTTGGATCGATAATTGTTCACAGTTCGATTATCACGGATACATCGAGGAGATGTACACTTTTCACCGGTCCGTGCCGTGTAGGGGATGAAAAATGAAATCCAGAACGCATACGAAACAACGATAACGGTGAAAATGTAACAATCCGCGTTATCTAATAACCTTGCGAAAGATACGGCATGTTGGCATTGCTTTGTTGGAGTTATCGATGAAATTATTGAACTCTAAAATATTCCGTGCTGCGCGGAACAAGGGTTTCACGCTTATCGCTTCGCGTTGTCAAGTTAGATTCCCACACAGAACTAGGTAACGCAGAGGGTGGCGCATGCAGGCGATTACATTAACACCGACGCTACCGGATCTGCGAAGATGCCAGATTTCGCATTTTTTATTTTACGCGAGCATATTATTAACGAGATCTTTATTCGCTTTTCCAATATCCGCGATTGTAAAAGTACCGTAGTCGATTTCTTTCTTAATATACAAATACGGCAATCGTTCTTAAGATTTTTAAGTGCGGTAGAACTCGCATAACGAGGTCGATCGTGCTATAGTGGTTCACCTAATTCTCCTCGCTATCTACGACTTTCCATTCATTCAATTTCAGATAATTGGATTCCGTCACATTTGATCACAGTTTGCGGAGACATTCGTTTCCTAACTCTGACTCGAAGAATTCATTTTTTCTTTGTTATATAACAATGATACGGTATCGGACTACTTATACAACGTATTAGCACGACATTAATATTCAGTTTATCGTGAAGTCGATGTTGAGCACGTTACGTTGACTAATTTAATTTTTTAACGCGAATTTTAACCATGACGAACCCTTTCTTCGCGAAGAATCAGCGTTACGCTTGTTATCATAATCTTCCTCAAGAACATTCGCTAAACTTTAATGTTTGGAGATCGGTGTAGGGTCGCGACATCAAACGTGCCTCGAAGGCACCGAAAAATACGACGTTGGACGAAAGATATTGTTGCCAAATATTTCCTCGACGTTATCCACATTGTAAAAAATATTTTTTTGCATCGCCATAATTCAACGTACGTTTCCACGGCCGATATTTCTACACGAAAACACGCAAGAATATTATTATCGCACTATGGATTTTATGCATTTTTAAGCAGCAAAGAAATTAAACGAACGTAGATACCATCGATCCAACACATTCGACCGATTCGAGAAAGAAAAGTGCATCTATTTAATTCCCGTTTCCTGCATTCGACGAATTTTGATCTCGAACAGAGATCCACGGTCTAGTTGTTACGTTGGTGTCAAGGACGTTGCGTCGACATAGCGCATTTTTCAACGAAAATTAGGAAAACAAACATGTCGGACGATTCTGACGATGAGTCATAATGTTCGCGGATAATGAAACGTACGCGTAACGGGATGCCCGAGCGATAACGGGGGTTCGGATAAGAAAGATCCTATTGTATTTTTACGGTGTGTCGAAGTTCAGCGGCGCGGACTAGAGAGAGTGAGAGTGAGAGCGAGAGAGAGAGAG